ATGCCGACTAGATGCCGCTTTACCTCCTTCACTTCGTCGGTTCCCCACGAGGAGCCTTCAAAACGGGCCGATGATGGGGAGACCGCGGTGGATCCCGGCCCATTCCCGGAAGACGTGCCCCCACCCCGCCCAGTAAGTGTGCCTCTGCCAGGAAGTCTGCCGGCCTCCCGGGCCCGGTGTGGGGCACAGCTCACCAACAAGCAGCCCACGGCCTCCTCCATGGAAATGTTCCCTTTTCCCAAAGGCTGCCGGGAAGCTCCGCGCTGGCCTGCGGCAGCAGCGGGTCCTGGGCGTGTGGGCAGCCTCTTGCCCCTCTGCCGGCCCGGCCTTTCCCGTCCATCCCACTGCACCGCCTGCCCGGCAGAGGAGCCGGTCCGTGTCTGCAGAGCGCGTGCTCGAGCGATGAGCATCCTGTTCCACAGTCTCCCCCTCAGATCCTCACGAGCAGCTGCACACGCCGCACCCAGGCCCTGGGGCCGAGGGAGCGGAAACACCCCTGCTGAGCAGGGCAGGCCGAGGGGCGCAGCTGAGGGAAACACTACTGCTGGACGGGGCTGGGCCGGGCCCCCCGGAGGCGGGGGCCCCATCCATGCTCCCTCTGAGCCCTTGTTAGTGTCCCTGCCTCTCCCCACAATGCAATTGGGCCGCTGGCCTGATGCATGCAGCTAGAGAACGGTCCCCTGGCTGTGGATTCCGGCGCCGGTGGTTCCCACCCACCCAGGTCTGTGAGGGAAATGAAAGGCCCGAGGGGGAGGCGAGGCAGGTCTGCCTCACCTGCCGACAGGTGTTGCCAAGGCCCCAACGCAGATTAGCCGCTGACGTGGGTCCCAGGCGGCAGGGGGCACCCAGGCCCGCAGGTGTGGGCCCACCACCCCGGGTGGCTCTGATTGTGTTACCGGAACACCTCGGCCCCCACCGCGATCAGGGGGTGGGGAGCGCGCTGCCCGCAGAGCCTGCTGGCCACTTTGATGTGCGGGCGCTGAGCCCCACGCCCCCTTCTGCCATGCTAAGAGCAGTGCGGTGTGCCTGCTGCCCACTCTTTCTTACGGCGAGGAATTGTCTAACCTCTTCATAGGAACCAGCAATTATCTCCGAGGCAGGAAACCAAACCCGGGCTGCGCTGGTGAGAGGCAGGGCCCTCCCTGCTGTGCCGAGCGGAGGAGACCACATGAAAGGCCCAGCCCGCTCATCCGGGCTGCACTGAGGTTCCAGCGACAGATTGGGCCCCGGCCTGGCCCCCGCCCAGCTGCCAGGGCCTGGGCAGCGTGTGGGAGGGAGCCCCGGAGGGGCCTCGGGGACACTGGGCCCCCTCATGCAGACCCTGACCTGTGGCAGCTCTGGCCCAGCCCTCGCCTCTGCGCCTCCTGCCACCATCCACGGCCCCCGTCCACTAACACCAAGGCTCCAGCGACTCCTCGGGCCGGCCCCCGCGGGAGTGCTTCCTGCTTCCTGGGCCTGCCTCCCCCACCGCGGTCCCCACAACTCTCCACGTGGTGCGTAACCCAACGCTCCTGACCCCATGTCCCGCCAGTTGTCACCCGTCCACCGCTCTCCAGTTGTCACCCGTCCACCGTTCTCCACCGCTCTCCAATTGCAGGAAAATTCCTCGGAGGGGCTGCCCCAACGCCTCGTCCTCAATTCCTCCCTCCTGCCCCTCCCTCCTTCTACAGTTCCTAGTTGGCATGTACAAAAGAAACAGGTGACATAAACCTACGTCACAACGTTCTTAACACGATGACCGTGAACCCCACGCAGCCAGAACGAGGACACGGGCCAGAACGGGCACCGTGCGACCACGGGTCCTTCCCACGGTCCTGCCGCCCCGGGAGCCGGCCCCTCGGCGGGACTGCAGGCTCGCGGGCCCTCGAGCTGTGACTGCACTGCCAACGGGTGCACGCCCCGAAGGCACTTAGTTAACTTTGGTTCGGATTTTGCATAAATGCTGCCTTTCCGCGCAGAGTCTCCCTGGGGCTTGCTTTGCTCTCTCCGCATTGTGCCTCCAAGGTCCCCTCACGCAGCTCTTTGAGGCCCCAGGCGGCCACGCTCGGCGGTGTGGGACACTCCCCGGCGTGCGTCAAGCTCCTTGACGTGAGCTCTCTGTGGAGGAGGTTCAAGGTGTGCCCGGCTGCTGCTGGCACTCAATTGCTCTCTGGGCATTCCACCCTCTGGCCCCCATGGGCAGGGTCTCTCTTCGTGTGCCCAACAGAATACCTCCAGGTGTCATGCCCAATGGCCGTAAGGATGCCAAACTACCTTCCCAAGAGGCTGTGCCCATTAAACGTCCCCCAAGCACATCTGCGAGTTCCAGCGCCTCCGACGGCCAGACCTGCCACGGACGTGAACACACCGGCGTGGCCTGGCCTGCGTGTCTCGGGTCGCCGGGGGCGGGTGCACGCCTTTTCACGCACGACGGCCCGTGTGGGCTTCTCTGGGAAAAGCCCGTGCACGCCCCCGTTTTCCATTGGTTTGTCGTTTCTCTCGCTAATTTGAGGAGCTTTGCGCATGGCCCAGACGTGGGTCCTTCCTCAGTTATACCTGCTACAGACACGTCTTCCCAGGCGGCGGCGTGCCTGTGTGCGGTGCCTTTTAAAGAAAGTTCTTACGTGTCCTGAGTTTACCAGCGTTTTCTTTTCTGTACGTGCGTGGTCTGGGAAGGGCTTCCAAGTTTGCCTTTTACACTGAAGGCCCCGGGGGTCCTCCTGCTGCCTCTGCTCTGTCGGGGCAGCGACTCCAGCCCAGGGGTCCCTGACTTTGGCCGCTGATGCCCGGCCAGAGCCACGGCAGCCACGGGAAACCACAGCTGAGGCCGAACACACGCCCTTTGCCAGCAGACCTCCTCCAGTGCCACAAAGCTCTGTGGACAGGGCCACCCAGCGGCCCCCGCCCACGCCAGCAGCCACGCTGAGGCTCCGTCCAGCCAGTTCTCACTGGAACGAAGGCTCAGAGGCTGGCACCTCGGAAACTGGCAAAGGGATCTCCTCAGAGTCCCAGGACCCTGCACACAGTCAGCAGGCACCAGAATGACCACGCCGAGGGCGGAGCCAGCCCCTCAACCAGCCTGTCCCCCTGGGCCCACACAGATCGCCCAGAGTCACCTGCTCGGACGGCAAACATCAGGACGTCTCTGTGACAGGACGTAAAGCAGGCGGGTGGACGCGCTGTGCGGCTCTGGCACCAGCACAGAACATCCCACGCAGTGGTGCCTGCTCAGCCTGCAGCCCAGACGCTGGGCCAGGGTCACAGCCGAGACTGGCAGCCTGCGGCTAGCCGGCCTGGGAAAAGCCATGAGCTGTCCTGGGGTCCCGGAGTCCAGTCGCATTAAAAATGAGGCACACAGACCCCGATCCCACCATGAGGGGGCGCTGAGACCTGGGGTGGAGACGTGTAGGGGCCAGGGCGGGAGGAGCAAGCAGTGTGTGGAAAGCCAGCAATGCAGCGGGGCAGGGGGCCTCCCCCATGACCGAGACGCAGGCCCTGCAGGGCCAGGTGGATGTGGGCTTCTGGCCCGCGGCTCCAGGACATTATACCACCCCAGACCTGCCTTCCAGAAAGGCAGCTGCAGCAGGGCCCAGGCTGGGCGTGTCCCCACAGCCCCCAAAGGTCCCCCAACCCTGAGGGATTTCAGGAAAACGGGTTTCAGATCAACTCCAGGACCAGAAAGTACAGCATGTAGCCGGGACCGGTTTGGCTCCTGAGAATTGAAAGGTCCCCGATTCGATTTCAGTCAAGGGCATGTACCTTGGTTGCGGGCACATCCCCAGTGGGGGATGTGCAAGAGGCAGCTGGTCAATGTTTCTCTCTCATCGGCGTTTCTAACTCTCTGTCCCTCTCAATTCCTCTCTGTGTAAAAATCAATAAAACATATTTAAAATATATATATATATATATATATATATATATTTTTTTTTTTTTAAAGTGCAGCGTGTAAACCATCCCCAGGGCTTACAAACCCGAGCACTGGGGTTCGTGACATCCCAGAAGTTACTTTTTTGGTTAAACTTTCCTCTCATCCCGTTGCCCAGACAGGAGACCAGTGTCCCTTTCCCTCGTGGCCACTGCCTGGCCCTCAGCAGACATCACTAATCCATCTCAGCAATGCTTTCCTTGAAGATTCGGTCCCCAACAGAGGCCTCCAGGAGCGACCGCCGATCACCGACCGGCAGTTCACAAGGGGACCACTTGCCATCTGGCTCTGAGGTGGGTCACACGTCAACGTGGCCTTCCCCATACTGCTCACTCCTCCCCCCGCCCCGGCCCCTCCTGCCACACCCTGAGCACACACAGTAGGACCTCTCCAGGCTTCTACATGCCTTTATGCAAATTAGAGAAAGGTGGCCCCTGCCTCGGGGCACAGCTTAAAGGGCCGGAGGAGCGGGGCAGCCGTAGGGCGGGAAAGACGACACCTCGTTCTTTGTAAGACGTATTGATATTGGCATTCTGACCCGTAAGGAAACACCCCGTCACAGTCATGTGACTCGTACAATAATGCAACAGCCACGGCTCGCTGTGTGTGAAAGCAGCAGGATCCACCCCGACTGCCCTGGGAAGCCGCCGGCCGGCCTGTGCGGCCCACGGGGCCTCTCGTCCCTGAAGGCCGCCGGCAGCAAAGGCACCACGGAAACCGCAGGGCCAGGAGGAGGCCCTGCTTCCTGCTTTCAGACCCTCTCAGGGTCCGGTGGAGTCACCCTCTTCCCGCACTGAGAGAGTAAAAGCAGCTCATATAATGTGACGTGGCACGGCGTGGCACGGCGTGGCACGGCGTGGCACGGCATGGCACAGCGCGGCGTGGACGCTGCTGCCGCACCGACCGAGCCGCGAGGCTGCAGACAGAAGCTGCCGGGTCCCGCTCACAGCGCACGGGGCCTCGGTTCTGTGGGTTCTGTCGCAGCCCCGGTGGGCCGAGTGGCCGTCTCTCCTCTGGGCCGCAGCGGCCCCTCCCGGGACCCGCGCTGGCGCCCAGGCCACATCGCCATCCGCCCAGCCAGGAAGGCACACAGACGTCACCTGCACAGCTGCAGGTGGGGGTGATGCCGCAGCTTCGCCATCAGCTCCTCCTCCGTCGGCTCCTCCAGGACCTCCCTGCGGGGTCGGGAGGAGGTGTGCATGAACAGCGAGCGTGCAGCCTGCCGGCTCCCCGCGTGGGACGGCCTCACACACGTGCGCAGGGGACTCGGCACATCTGCGGGGCGTTTGTATGGCGCTCTTAAAGGCCCCGGTGGGCTGCTGGGTGGGCGGGACAGAGCACCACTGAGGCAAGGCAGCCAAGCCCCACGAGGGAGACCGTCCCCTTTCTCCACCAGGAGAGGAACCAAGGGTGATGTCCTTGGGCCCTGACCACGTCCACCCACAGATTCACACCTGCAGGATGTTCCCACGAATACACTCGACGGAGAACAGGACAGAACGGCCGGGCGGCAGGAGCAGCGGAAGCAACGGACCCCAACCCTGGAACCCAACCCCGTCCCCGGACCCCGGGAACTTCTTGAAGCTCCCGGCAGCAGGCAGCTCTACACTCGCACCCGACGCCGACCCCCCCAGGAGCCTGGGCTGGTGGGGAGTGTCGCTGTCACAGGCCGCCTGCCCAGCTCCCCCTGCCTCCCTCCGCGCCACCTGCGCACCTGAACAAGAGGTCCACTGTGGTTATCTCGTCCCCGGAGAGGGACTGCAGGTCGCCTCGGCGGTCCCACTTGTGAAGGAAGTTCTGGGGGGTGGGAGGGTGGAGGGAGGCGAGTGGGTGCCGGCCCTGTGTGAAACCAGCCTCACCTCCCTAGCCCCCCACCCCCCACCCCGCCTGGTGTCTACTGCAGGGGCACGGGAAGCCCGGGTCCAGGGCCTGCAAGGCCACCAGCTCCTAGGAGCCACATGCCCCCGGGCCCTGGGGCCTGAGGACACCCTCAGGTCAAATGTCAGGGCTGTTCCCAGACCCTCCCAGCAACGGGGGAGCTGCACGGAGCCGGGGCCGCCCAAACCCCCAGGACTCTCCCTGCACCTCCAGAATCAGAGCCAGGAACAGGTTGATCCAGATGACGGACGACACCAGCCACCACAACACGAAGTAGATCTTGGACCACCTGCGAGGACCAGGAGGAGGCACACGCAGGGCCCGGCGTGAGCACAGCGAGGCCATGGGGGGCGGGGGGGGGGCATGCAGACCCCACAGCCAGTTGGACCCGCGAGTTGGGGACAGCTCCCTGGTCCTGCCCGGTAACCCCTCGGCGTCCTCCCGCTTTAGAGATGACCAGAAGCTGAGACAACGAGCTGCCCGAGGCGGCAGGGCCAGCAGGAGGTGGAACCCGGGCTGGGGCCGGGACCAGGACCATGCCCGGGGCTGGGCTGTGCTCCAGGCTCCCCCCCAGACGCCCACCAGGCCCCCCAGATGACAACCAGGCACCCAAGGAGCCCCCAGGGCCTGTGCTGCTCCCACACATCCCCAGCGATGCCAAGTGCCACCCAGAGCCCCGGGCGAGGGCACAGGAGGAAGGGCGGGAGCCGGGCGGAGCCGGGCGGGTCACTCACGGGCCGGAGTAGCGCTGATAGGCGTCCAGGAACACCTGCCAGTTGTTCACGACCATCACGTTCCACAGCGTGACCAGGGCAGCCTGCGGGCAGCAGACGGGGCACGGTCCAGGGGCTGCGGGAAGCAGGGGGCGGGGTCCCGGGGCGCGGGGGGAGGGACTCACCGCGAAGTCGTCGAAGTTGTTGGCCCAGTAGTCCAGCTGCTCGTAGCTGCCGCAGGGCGCCGAGCCGTTAGGGGCCAGGCTGGGACACAGCGAGGTGGGTCAGGGCGGGTGTAGGACACGCACACCAGGCGTGCCCTACGCCGCCTTAGCCCTGCACAGCTGAAAGCCCCCTGGGCCCCCAGAAACAGGCAAAAGAAATGCCCCTGACCTCCAGAGGGTCGGTGAGGGCAGCTGGGAGGCAAGGCCTGTGGCCAGCAGGAAGCTTCTGGAAGCTCCCGGCAGCAGTCAGCTCTGCACTCACACTGCTGCCAGCTCCGGCCCGGGGGCTGTGGGGAGTCTGGGGGGAGCCGAGGGGAGCTGAGCGGAGGGGCTCAGGGTCCAGCAGGGGCTGGGAGGGCTGCTCTGAGCAGACATGGGACAGTCAGCACAGACTCCAGGCCAGGGCCCAGGGGAGGGAGGGCAGGGGACAGGGAAGAAAGAGGAAGAGCAGGAGCCTCCGCTTGGAGAGCTGACCCCCACGCTGCCGAGGCCTCACCCTGTCCTTACATCTGTCCGGCTCCCCCCCACCCACCCTCAGCGCTCCTTCGGCACCTGTAGGCCCCACCTCACCTGTTGTTCCCAGGAGCCACAATGACTCCCTGGAACAGGTTGATGCCAACGATGGCAAAGACGTAGTACACCACCTGCGGAGGCAGGGCTCGGTCAGCGGGGCAGCCCCCACAGACAGAGCCAGGCGGGGCTGGGAGGGTTCCCAGCCGGCCACGCCCCCAACCACGGGCGCTGCTAGCCCCCCACACCACCGCAATACTTGTCTCTACTCCCAGACACCCCCCCGGCCACCACCTGCCCCAGAGGCCCGGGTGAAGCTGGGCCCGGGAGGAGCTGGACCGGGAAGGAGCTGGGGCGGGGAGGAGCTGGGAGGCGGCTAGGGCCGGGGAGGAGCGGGGCCGGGGGGAGCTGGACCCGAGGGGAGCTGGGCCTGGGAAGGGGTGGGGGGGCTGGGCCCGGGGGGAGCTGGGCCTGGGAGGAGCTGGGCCGGGGTGTGGGGGGGCGGGAGCTGGGCCCCAGGGGAGCTGGGCCCCGGGGGAGCTGGACCCAGGAGGAGCTGGGCCTAGGGAAGGAGGAGAAGGCCAGGCCTCTCCCGGACAAAGTCCCACCATGCTTCCCACGGCCACCAGGGGGTGTCCAAGGAGCACCCCCTAGCAGCCTCGGAGAGGGGCTGCTGCCAGAGCACTGGCCAATCCAGAAGATGCTGGGAGGATTGGGGAGGGCTCCACACTCTGGGCTAACCCTGCCCCCCTCCTGTGCCTCAGTTTCCTCCAATGTGCAAACAGGGGTTTGGGACGGCCTGAGCCCAGATCCTATTTCTAGCCTCCTGGCAGGCCTGGGCTCCCCCAGGGTTCCCCACCCCCACGGTGTTGTTCAAAATAAAGGACAAAAGGCCGCCAGCACGGCTCTGCCTGTCACTGCCACCGAGTGTGCGGCCCCCGGGCTCGTGCCTGGAGCAGCACCAGGCCCGCCTGCTCATGCCCTGACCCGGCTGGGCTGGGCCAGCGGGACTGGAAAGTGACGGAAAAGCTGTCTGCACGAAGGGGGCGCTCTGGCTTCCCGCTCCCCCCCCACCCCGCCAGCTTGCCCAGCCCACAGCCCCACACCCACTGCGTGACCAGCCCACCCAGGCCCACATGGCGGCCAGACTCACCACCAGGATCCCGCCGAAAGCCCGCATGTTTCTGATCAGGCCCAGGATGGTGCTGGCCACCACGGCCATCAGCTGAGGACAGGGAGAGCAGAGCCACTATTCCTCCTGGCCTCGCTAGGTGGCGCCAACCCTGCCCATCACCCTCCCTCTGCAAGGGCAGGTGAATTAGCACCAACCCACACACCTGTGCACACCACCCTCCCCTCCCACACACACACCCGTGCACACACCCCAGTCACCCCTACATGCACTCACACATGCATACACACACCTGTGCACACACCCCACAGCCACCCCTACACACACTCACACACACACACACACACACACACAACCTGTACAGCAGTACACACACACAGCTGTACACCCTAGCCACCCATAGGCACCCACTCGCCCCCACACATCCAGACACCTTGCCCAACCAGCCTTGGGTCTGGGCCCACATTCAGGCCAGACCATGCTGCCCTCCAGCGCTGAGGCCGGGCAGCTCCTCTGACTGGAGGCTTCCCGGTCAGCCCCTAGGGACCAAGTCTGAGAAACGGGCCTCGGAGACGCAGCCAGGAACCCTGGCGACGGGGCTGCTCCCCATCCACACAAACCTGCGCCCATTTCCCAGCTGACGCATTAGACTATCATAGCTGGATGCTGGCAGAGGGAAACCAGTGCACATGCGCACGTGATGACTGTGTGCACATGTGTGCGCATGTGCGCGTGTGTGGGGCTTGTGTGTATGTGCATAGAGTTGTATTTGTGTATAGTGTAAAGGTGTATGATTGCATGTGTGTTGTGTGTGATTGTGTTCGTTATGTGCACATGCATTGCTGGGTGTGTGTGTGTATACAATTATGTCTGTGATGACATGTGTACAATCATGCCACTGTGTGTGTTTATGTATCTGGTTACATTGTGTGGTTTGTTACATGTGTGTGGTTACATGTGTGAATGTGTGGGCTGTTGCTGTGTGTGTGGTCATGACTTGTGTGGGTATTTGTGTGTTCACAGGCACATGTGACCACATATGCCAGTGTGGCATGCACAGACTTTGGGCAGCAGCCCCACCTGCACCCAGGTCCCCGAGCTGCCCTCAGAGGGAGCCCCGGTGTGCGGGGAAGGCCCCGGATACACAGGAAGGACTGGTGTCCCATGGCTCTTCCCCTGAATGTCCCTGGGAAAACAGACGGAGCAGTAACCTCACTTCCGGGCTGGGCTGGGCTGGGCTGGGCCCGGCCGCTGACCACCTCCTCCCACCCCTCCAGGCTGATGGTACCCCTCCCGGTGGGAGGCTCGGAGCTGCTCACAGCCCCCTCCTTGCACTCGGGGTCCTGGAAGTGAGCACTGCGGTCAAGCCTGCCGTGACCAGGAGCCCCTCCAGGAGCCCCCCCAGGAACCCCCCAGAAAGCTCAGGCCCTGGAGCACGTGGTCCCCGCACTCCACCTGCCCTCACTGCCAGGGGCCCCAAGAGCTGGGCACGCCCCTGCAACTGGCCGAGAGCCTCACCCAGGCCCCCTCCCCCCAGTGCTGCCAGGCGAGGGGCGGGAGCCCACCGCAGGGTCTGGGCCCTCCCTGCCCGGGCCCCCCCTCTCCAGGGCACGAGGGGCAGAGTGAGCAGGACGGGGCAGTGAGGGGGGCGGCAGCGCCACGCACCTTCATGCTGGGGATGATGCGCAGGAACCGGAACACGATGAGCATGTTCACCAGGCGCACCATGTCCCACAGCGACAGCAGCCCCCGCATCTCCGGCTTCCTGCGGAGACACGGGCAGACGGGTCAGGAGAGGCCCAGGACACCAGCACCGAGGAGACAGGACACGCAGGGTTTAAACGGAGAAAGAGATGCAGAGAGCGAGGGGAGCAGAGAGAAGGAGGGGGAGCGGAGAGAGGGAGGGGAGCAGAGAGAGGGAGGGGAGCAGAGAGGGGGAGGGGAGCAGAGAGGGAGGAGAACAGAGAGAGGGAGGGGAGCAGAGAGGGAGGAGAGCAGAGAGAGGGAGGGGAGCAGAGAGGGAAAAGAGCAGAGAGAGGGAGGAGCAATGAGAACTTGCCCCGTCTCGGGCTCCAGCCAGAAACCCTCACCGAGACGGAGGGCAGAATGGTCACGAACCTTCCACAGCACCCCCTGCCTGGCGCCCGGCCAGCTGACCCTCCGTCTGACATCAGACACCACTGAGAACCCAGACTCCCGGGTCAGGTCCCAGCAGAACTGGGAGACTTGGCCCCTGACTCCATCCCTTACCCCAACCCATATTCACACCCTACCTCCGACCCCTCCTAACCATGCATCCGATTCCCTGACCCCTTCCTTTGACCCTATATCCTGGTCCTGACCTTGACCTATCACCTGACCCTGTCTCCTGATCTGACCCTGTCCCAGCTCTACCCTAACCCCTAATCACACATCCTATTCCGGCCCTGCCCTCTGACCCCATCTCCTGACTCCATCTCCACACTGTCTCCTGTGGAGACTTATCCCTGAGCCTTAACCTCATGCCCTAGCCTGACCCCACCTCCGGGCCCCGGATCCAGTCCCATCTCCATCCCGACCCTTGGTGTCCATCGTGGCCTCACCACGCTCTCATTTCTATTTAAATGTAAACCCACTCTCACCGGGATGTCAGACCTGTAACTTTCAAACATGCACTTCAGACACAAGGAGAGCTGGCCCCCAGGAAGCGCATGTCCCCCGGGCCCAGCCCCTCAGCCTCCAGGGACGGCGCCCGCCCAGCGGACTTCCGGATAAACCCTTCCCAGCGGCTGCCACGGAGCTGACCCTGAACAGCCAGCCATCATCCCTCTGTGTGACCGGAGCCGGGGCCCTGGGGCTCAAACAGCAGGTGAGATCGGAGAGCCCAGGCCCGTGCCATATGGAGAGGCAGCCTTTGCCCAGCCCCGGGCACAGGCCTTCCAAGCCAGAGGAGGGCTGCAGCCCAAAGCCAGTGCCCACGTCACCCAGCCCTGAGCTGGAGCCTCCCTGCTCCGGCCCAGCACCCCAGGGCCACACGTCTGTCCGCCGGTGCCGGGGCTGGGCCACCGCATTAGAGGGCACCGACAGCCTCCTGTCAACACGAGCGAGGCCCTCAGGGGCGGGGCCGGAGCCCCCTTTCCTAACAACCGGGTGTCTGGCCCTCCGTCCCAGCGGGACGGGGGCCCTCCTTCCCGGGTGCTAGCCGGGCGGTTGCTGTAGCGCCCTCGGTTCTCCAGTCACATACCAGCCTGGGTGTGGGAATCGGTACACAGCCAGAGTTGAGATCTCCAGAACCTTTAATTACAAAAGAAAAGACGGCATCGCTACAGCAAGCTCACCGGCGGCTCTCGGAGAACCTCACAGCCCAGCCAGGCCGCCCCACGGGCCTTCGGGGAGAACGGACCTGGGGCCTGTCCCCGTGGGCTCGTTCCGCGTGCCGGGACTTCCTGAGGCGGAGAAAGACAGACACTGTGGTCTCCGGAGCGGGGCGCCCTCGGGAGGGCGGCCGGGGGAGAAGCCACGTGGTCAGAGACGGGCTGGGTGAACCCCCACTGACTCCGGGGGCCCACGGCCCTCAGCAGTCACGGGCACGAGTCGCACTGACGTCGCTGTGACCCACGGGCGACCCCCACCCCTGGGGGCTCTGGGGAAAAGTGACGGGACCCGTCCGGAGCCTGAGACTCCCCCTCCTCCACCCACACCGTCTCACTGTTCCGAGTGGCATCGGAGGCTGTGCCTGGGGCGGGGTAACCAGGGAGAAGGGGGTCTGTGGGTTCTATCTGGGCCTCCCCAGGAGAGGCAGCCTGACCCCCCCACGCTCAGACACCGCAGACCCTCCTCTGCCCCGTCCGCCGCCCACCCAGCGTCTCGCTGGGGAATCAGCCCCGTGGCCCCTGGAGGCAGGAGCCCAGGACCGTGGCCCTCGGGCCCCCAGCGCAGAGCCGCTGTGAGCGCCCACCGCCCACCGGGAGGCGCCGGCGGACTCACCAGCAGGATGACGGTGAGGAGGCCGTCGAACACGTTGCTGGGGTAGGACAGGTAGCCGGGCAGCCCCAGCGCGAACACCTTGAGCAGCATCTCCGCCAGGTAGTACAGGATGAAGACGCAGTTGAGGATCTGAAAGGCCGTGTGCCCGGCGTTCAGTCCCGGCTCTGCCTCCCCGCCCTCCCCCTGGTCCGGTCTCCAGCCCCCGCTGCCCCCTCGGGTCACTCTCTCTCGGACCCTCCCTCGGCCGCCGCCCCACTAGGCTGACCTCCCTGCACTCGTCGGAACGGAGCCTCTGCACCTGGCTCCCGGCCTGCACCAGCCTCAGCCAGCCTCCCCCGATGGCCTGCCTCCCCCCACAGCCTGCCACCCCCAACTCTGGGGATCCCCCGACGCCAGTCCCTCCGCCGGCGGACCCGGAGACCCCGCCAAGGCGGACAGCGAGCGGCTCAGAGCTCACCCCCAGCACAAAGTCGTCCCGGTCTTGGGGCAGGATGCCTGCGTCGTGCACCAGGAACACCTGCCGAGCCGGAGGGAGAGGCTCGCCGCCGGCCCAGTGCAAGGCCAAGGTGGGGAGGAAGAAAGGGAGAGGGGGGGGAGGGGGAGGGAAGGAGGTAGGGAGAGGAGGAGAGGAAGGTATGGGGGGCAGAGAGCCAGGACGAGACGCCTCCCGGGGCCACTGGGGGGCACACCCGCGCTCACACAAATGGACACGAGGTTCGCCAGGACGAAGAAGTTCCCCAGGTAGTCGAAGTAGGGGTGTCCAAACAGGAACTGGGCGCTCCGCAGGAACGGGGACTGGTACTCGGGCGGCGGCGGGTGCTGGAGGGGACACGTGCTCAGAAACGGGGCCGTGCCCCTTCTCCTGGGACCCGACGCCCCTCTACCTGACCTCTGCCCGTCTACCCAGCCCCTGGGCTTCCTCACAAACCCAGGCGCGGCCCCTCACCCGGGGACGCCATCACAGTCCGTAACTCAACGGAGGCAGGGTGCCCTGGGCGGCGCCTGGCACCGTGAGGAAGCCTCTTAGTAGTTTGCCACGATGTGGAAAGCGTTACGTGCAAAAGCCCAGGTAAATCCTACGCTGGTAACTACCAAAGCGTGGCGCAGAGCCAGCAACGGGTGGGAAGCGATGGAGGGCCATTGGCAGGAAACGGACAGGAAGCCGCAGGTGGGCGGCCGCCACTCTGAAGACTATTAACGCAGGAGGCCAGTGGGCGGCCCTAACCCCACGGGGCTGGGTCCTCCTAAGAGGTCAGGGCACAGATACACAGAGAGACCACGTGGGGGCCCAGGGGAAGACGGGCATTACACTCCCAGGAGAGAGGCCTTGGGAGGAGCCAGCCCGGACCCCTGGGTCTGGACTCCGCCTCCAGGACGGGGCAGTAAGCCCTGCGGAAGCCGCTGCGCTGGCTGAGGGACTCCCCGCCGCCTGAAGGGCCTGTGTACCTCAGCATCCCCAGGAAACCCACTTAAAACGCGGGCGGGGGGCCGTCTGGACACGGTGCTGAGCGGGACGCCACGGCCCATGCAGGGGCTTCACCCATCGGGTCAGGACCAAAGACCACGGCTTTCGCCAAACTCGGAGCCCCCGCGGAAGGAGCCGGGGAAGAGAAAGCCCTTTGGAAGGTTCCTCGCTGGCTTTCTGAGGGCAACCACACTCCCAGTTTCCAACGGCCAACCATCTCCGTCCCATTTACCATCCTAGGGGCCAGAACTCCGGGACAGGCCAGTCCTGGCACCGGTCACTAAGTTACCCGGGTGGTCAAGCCCCCTGCCTCTCTCTGCAAACGTCCCCCTAACCCTGGGAGCCCTGGCCCGGTTACCTCCTTCGTCAGACTTTTGTCAAACTCACTGAACAGCTTCTGAAACTCGTCAGCCGACAGCAGGCCATCGCCACGGGCACGCACCTGCTGCAGAGCAGGGAGGCACAGGTCGGCGGGAGAGCCGGGCCAAGGCCAGAGCCCGAGGGTGAGCGCCCACCATCCCAGGCTGGTCCGGCCCCCGCTGCTCTGAGAGGAGACCGTCCTGACCAGGGGCTGCTGGCCCACAGCACCTCAGGGGGAGCACGGCCGGGGAGGGCGGGAGGCCGGGGAGGGCAGGAGGCGGGGGGGGGGGGGGGGGGGGGGGGGAGGAGTAATGAGGCTGGTACCTCCATGACGGCCTGCTTGTGGGTGCTGCTGGCCTGGACTTTCTGAAGCACGTGCAGGAGGTCCTGGGCCCTCACCCCAACTCTGTGGGGAAAAGACACCCACACCCAGTGAACTCACTAGCTCAGTCCCCCCGCGCCCGATATCTGGCCTGAACCACACAGCCCTGGGCGATAGCAAGGCCTCCACAGGAGGAGCGACCGCGGGCCACACAGCCATCCCCTAACATCCCAAGACACTGTCAGGCCCTCCCCGGGAAGGTGGAAGCGGGCGCTGCCAAGCAGCCTCCGGCCAGGGCGCAGTGGGGACATGGCCCGGGTCACCCTGTTCCCAACACCCAGCTTGGGGCCCAGGTGTGTGGGAAGGGAAGGGCGGGTGGGTGAGCAGGCGAGCGGGCGGCGGAGGCGGGAGCAGTGAAGTCTGCAGGGAGCCTGCTGAGTGGTGCTTAACTCCAGCCCTAACGAGCACCCGGCCCCACAGCGGCAGCCCCGCTTCCCCAGGGAGCCCACACTCACCCCTGAGGGCCGCCTTCTCCCTTGGCCGTCCAGGACAGGACCTCGTAGGCAGCCCGGGTCCCCAGACGCTTCCGGAACAGTGAGGCCTGGATGGATTTCTGCAAGGAGGGTGTCTCTGAGGGGCCGGCCCAACCCGGCCCAGCCCAGCAGGACGGCACAGCCCTGGGCCCGCAGCCCCTGAGGGCCTCCCCGGTCGGGACAGGCACAGACTCCGAGGACATTTCTGCAGGAGGAGCTGAGGGCTGCGCCTGTCCCTAAGGCATGTGCTTCCTCCGTGTAGTTGGGGTCCTGGCTCTCCCACACAGAGTCCGTTGCCCTCGGCGTAGTAATCTTGTGGCTTCCCTCAGAGGAACAGGAGGCAGCACAGCTCCAGCTCATCCACAAGAGGGAGCCAGAGGGCAGTGCAGAGACCACTGTGGACACTACCCCCATGGGGACCAGGCCAGACTGCCCTCCCCCCTACACACACACACACACACACACACACACACACACACAAGCTGCTTGGCCTGGGCTGCAGCCTCACTCACCAGCAGGTAGCCCCGGAACTGATTGTAGATGATGGCCGTCAGCAGGTTCATCAGAAACAAGCTTCCTTCAAGAAGAAAGCACCTCGGTCAGCGAGGAGCAGCCGCTGTGGGGGCCCAGGAGCGGTGCCCAGAGGTGCAGACGGTCCCACGGGCACAGCGACCCCAGGGGTGCCAGCAGAAAGGGCCCGGGCAATCACAGAGCAGGACGTGGGCCTGGGCACGTCACTCGCCGCCCTCACCTGGACAGCACAGGTGCCACCCGGCCTGCCCAGCGTGGGCACTGAGGACAGCCGTCTCCGTGGTCACAGACTGCAGGCAGGGCAGGGCCCCCCTTGAGGTGAAGGGTGGGGCAGCACACCTCCCCCCGAGGGTCACAGGGGACAGAACCACCCCCTGCAGGGGACAGACTCACCGATCAGCGTGAAAACGATGAAGAAGATGGCAAAGGCCCGATTCTTGGAATACGCAGGGACCATGACTAAGGAAGAAACCAGGAAAACCGGTCACGGGAGCGCACCGCCCTCAGCGATGCCCGCCCCTTACGCTGAGCTGACGCCTGCTCCTGCGACCACCCCACATGCCGGGAGCCCCGCCCTCCCTCGGTGACAGCCTCCCGTCCTGCCCAGCCCTGGCCCGAGCGGGCACAGGCCCCATCGGCGACCCAAAGGGGACGCCATGGCCGGGGACAGCCCTCGGCCTCACACACACGCGGCTGAGCTGCAGCCCACGGCTGGGGACATGAAGGGGCCCAGAGGCCAGCGGGGGACCCCGGAACACTGCACATAAGGCACAGCGTTTAACTTCTCAGAGGAGTGGGGAGAGGAGGGGAAAGAGGAGACAGGGAGCAGTTACAAAAGGAGGGGGCGAGAAAGTACAATGAAAAGGGAAGGAAAAGGCAGAAAAAGGAAAATGAGAAAGGAAGGGAGGGCGGGAGGGGAGAATCCAGGTCACCCTGCTTCCCCGCCGCCTGCTGAGCTGGAGGCCTTGGTCACCCGGCTCCCGGCTCCGCAGGAACCAAGCCCCCCCCGACCCCCGTTGCCCGCCGGCCAGCCAGCGCCCGCCCGGCCTGCTGCTCACGCACCGTCAGGGTTGTTGGCAGTGGTCAGCAGCACCAGGAGCGAGGTCAGGGACTCCGCCAGGTTGCGGAAGTAGATCAGCCTCTCCCGGTCCTGCCCATCGTCCTGCTGAGAGCAGAGGGGACAGCCTGAGGAGCCCCGCGGGCCTGCTCCCCGCCCACGACCAAGCATCCGCCCACGGCCAAACCCTCCTACCCACGGCCAAGCATCCGCTCTCCTCAGCCCAGGCCCCTCCGCGCAATCAGCAACCCTCTGTGCCCAACCGTCCTGGGCTCTGCAGGAGAGCAGCGAGGGCGGCCACTGCACGGCCCCTGGGGCCTGAGAGTGTGCCAGCTGGTCACACACACACACACACACACACACACACACCCCGAGGGGGCGGGGGAGCACAGGCCTGTCTCCCTTGTAGGCAGCTCAGCACCAACCCCAAACACTGCCACAGGCTAGTGAGGGACCAGCCCTGGCCGTGCGCTGGCCACATTCCCCAGACAGAAATGCAGGACAGCTCTGGCCCTGAGGCGGACAGTGGCCTGGCCAGGAAGGGAGGACAGGCACACGGGAGCACAGATGTGCGGGGATAGGGGCGAGCCGGGTGACGGGGGACAGGCACAAGCTGCTGGGGGGCGGAAGCAGCACGGGCAGGAACGAAGGGGACCAGGCAAAGCCCATGGCTGGACAAGAGGGACATGGTGAGAGGTGCCTGCTGGACAAACGGACAGGTGCTGTGAGAGGGGCCATCCCGCTGATCCCCAGTGCCAACCTGAGGGGCCGGCCCAGGAGGGTGCAGGAAAGCCCAGTCAGTGCCGGGGAGGGGAGGGGAGAGAAGGGAAAGGGAGGGGAGGGGAGGGGAGGGGCAGAGCTACCGGAGCCCAGGAGGCCCGGGCAGGGGAGCAGTGGGACTCCTCTGGAGCCAAGACAGCGGACTGCGGGCGGGCACCACTGCCCTGCCCGAGAGGTGGGCAGACAGTCCTCTTCTCTGCCGGCCCGAGAACTGGCCAGCGGAGCGCCCCGAGACAGACGCGCAGCGGCCCGCCCCTCCACCAAACCGGTACCTTCTCGCCTGTGAAGAGCAGCATGCCGAGCATGGTGAAGACGCACAGGTGCAGCGCCAGCAGCAGCACCACGCTGGGAGGACGGGCGCGGGCTCAGCACCGGGCACGGGCCCGCATGCCCAACGGGACCCAGCCACCCAGGAAGCTCCCGCAGCCAGCCCCAGGGCCGGTCCCTCCGCTGCCCCACAGCCTGCCACACGCCCAGCCGGGGCCCTACCCTAACCAAGCCTCCTTCCTCTTGGGCAGGGATGACCCACCACCCAGGGGCACGTCCCAGGAGTCCAAGGACCGCAGGGGCCGGAGGTGAGGGTCAGCCTCGGGAGCCACGAGGGGAGCCCCAGATCCCGACCGCAGGGCAGGGAGCAGGAGGGCCCGCCCTGCCTGCGAGCCCGGCACACCCACCTGGCCATTTCCGGCAGCGACCACCGGATGCACTTGAGCATCTTCTTCATCATGGAGGAGTTCTGCAGCAGGAAGAAGGGCCGCAGCAGCCGGCGCAGCCGCAGGGGCTGGGAGAGAGCGGGACACTGAACGCCCGGCCAGGCTTTCCAGTGCCACCCACACCCCGCACCTGCCATGGGAGGTGGGCAAACCAGAGACCCTCCCGGCCACATGCCAAAGCTGCTTCCCGCCCGGCGCCTGGTCACAGCCTGACCGAGGCCCAGGCGTCCTCGCTGTGCCAGCGCGCCCAGCCCTGCAGACACGCGGTGCCCCTTCCCGAGGGGGCGGCCCACCTCTCAGAGCAGCCTGCACCTGGCTCTGGCCGGGGCCGTCCCGCCCACAGGAGCCTCTCCCCCCTCTGGTCTGGTGACCTTCACCTTATGCTCTGGACTCCCAAGTTCAACCAATAATCCAGGCTCTCAGCCCAAATCACGTCCTACGGAGTGACCTGTCTTAGTAAGCCTGGCCTTGTCACCTTCCTGCCCAGGCGTCCAGGGCTGCCTGGGCCCTCCAGCCCAGCCTGCTGCCCCTCACCATCCCGCTGGCACGGCCCTCAGCCCGTCTGCTCAGCCAGCGGGCTGTCCCTGTCCGTCCCTCCCATCCCGGCGGAAGAGCCACCTCCTCAGGCTGCCCTGGGTCCCTCTCCTTGGCACCGAGATCCCACTCCACACCCGGTGTTTCCCGGGACTGCCAGTCTCTCCCCGAGGACACGGGCCCACAGCACTGGCGCACAGGAGGCCCTCCGCCTGGCAAGGGTGCCCTGCACCTTCTTGCGTGGCCTCCTCGCAGAGGGCCCCGCGCCCCGCACAGCACCTCGAAGGCCAAGGAACCCGCAGTTCACGGGCACCCGCGCCCCCACACCCGGCCCACGGCCACTGCATAGGAGTCCCATCCAGGCCCAGACCAGTCCTTCAGCTTCCCTCCAGGCGCTGCCGGCACACACACACACACACACACACACACACACACACACACTCACACTCACACACACACACCAGTCCTTCAGCTTCCCTCCAGGCGCTGCCGGCACACACACACACACACACACACACACACACACACACACACACTCACACACACACGCACTCACACACACACACACTCACACACACTCACACACACACACACCCACACACCGTGCAGTCAGACGCGGACCAGAGTGCGGTTTGGTCCAGACAGCAACCCAGTCCCGAGGGCTTCCCAAGCTGAGGCCACGTCGGGGCCGGGACGGCAGAGCTCACGGAGGTGGGAGTCACCGCCTGAGCCTGCAGCCGGGTCCATCCCGAGGCTCCGGGAGGAGCCCCCAACGAGGCTACAGACTCAGACTGGTCTCCTGTGAGAGACTGCCACACTGAGCCGTGACCACGGCCCCTCGGTGACCTTCAGCCCACATGTACCCGCCCCACGCGGCCTCAAGTTGGGGGAGGAACGGGGGGTCAGGTAGACATGGAAGCGAGACCGGCTCAAGCAGGTCAGAGGCCCCAAGGCCTCCCTGAGGGCCCCGATGCTGACCAGCCCGCCGGCCCCGGAGACAAACCTCAGGCCTGGTTTGCAGACGGACCTGGGTGTTGGGCCAGCCCCAACCAGAGGTCAGGCCCTAAGAGACGGCCCCGAGGGAAAGCTCTGCCGGGGGAGGGGGTCACTGTGCTGAAAGGGTCACTCCGCCTCCTGGTGGTGGCCAGCGCCCGGGAGGGGGGGGGGGGGGACAGACTAATTGACTGGGGACAAGGACGGCTGCGGAGGACACGTGTGGGGAGGAGGGAAAGCACCCCAGGGCTCCCCAGGAGAGGCTCTCCAGACAGGATGACAGTCGTAGGTATCCCCGAGCCCCTCAACACCCCGCTCCGATCTCCAGGGACGGAGGCCACTACCGAGGGGCCCCCGTGCCAGGAGCGGAGCCCAGGCCGGCCCCCATATGGCCCCCGGTGGGTGGGAGACTGCCCGGCCCTTCCCCTGCCGGATGCTGCTCTGCCCACACTGGACAGATAGGTGTGCAGGGAGCGGTTCTGCCCGCCCTGCCTGAGGCCTCACCCAGGACCATCCAAGCCTCAGGGCCAACCTGCTTCCGACCAGGGCAGAGCTCACAGCTCTCGCCGGCCCTGCCTCAGACCCTCGCCCAAAGCAGGCAGCCTGTGGGAGGGCCCAGGGCCCCAGGCAGGCTCAGGAACTCAGGGCAAAAGGGATTGCAACACCTCCGCTCCCTGCCCCAAACTCGGGGCCGGCCTGCGGGCTGGGAATGTCTGTTTCTAAAGGGCGTGCTTCCACCAGGGGCACGCCACGACTCTTGGCGAAAGGGGCTGGTGCCAGCGGGGTGAGTGGTCCATCTCCAAGGACAGACTGGGGGGCTGCTGTCCAGTTGCCAGAGGCAGGACCATGGAGCACTGAGGCCCCTCAAGAGCGAATGTGATAAGGAGCCCAGACCAGCTGGGAGCACGTGGATGGGCGCAGGAGGAAGTTACAGATTCCTGTTAGGCGACCAGCAGCACAGACACGTCTGTGTATCTTAGCCAATCTTCCTCCCAGTGGCTCATGAGGACTGGTGGTGGGGAGGGTCACCATTCACGCTGAGGTGACAGAATTCGAGTGGCCAATAGGACGGATGCAATGACTGCACCCAGAAATGGAGCCAGTGGAGGCTCCTGGGGGACAGGGGGGCCTCTTCCTTTGTGGAAGGACGGCAGGACCCCATAAGGGAAAATCGTGGGCTGTGGGTGCTCCCACAGGGAGGTGGCGTGTGGGTGCTGGGACCCACCGCTGACATTTCTCCTCCATCAACTGCTCCCCACTCTGTCCTGCCAGAGGGGGCACTGGAGGGAGCCAGGAGGCAGGAGGGACATGGGACCTTTCTGTCCACCTGTTGTCCCGACAGCGCCCGAGGCTGCCAGCCCCACCCCTGCTTTCAGTGCTCCCAGAACCAACCTCATCGAGTCTCTGGGCGGCACCAGCACCTGCTGTGCAGGGTGCCCTCCCCAGAGGTCAGAGGGCAGGTCCCAGCTCTGGGAGCCCGGGGTGGGGAGGAGGGGTGATTCCTGCAGTTCTGAGTTCCACAGGCCTTTTTGCTCTTTCGGTTCCTCCGCCCCGGCTTCAGTCCCTGTGAAACTCCCTCCCTAACCACCTGGTGGGCCTCTGGCATGTGTGCCCCACCAGCCCTGATGGGCACACTGTGCCCAACCAGCTCTCCCAGCTCCGTCCCACCAACCGCAGGGCAGCGCTCCTGGGTGTTCCGAGGGGAAGCGAAGAGGCTGCAGTCAGACGGCAGGGCCGCCTGCCCCCATGGGATTCCTACTGTCGGAGTCACAGAGCTCTGGGCGTGTGGCTGGGGCGAGGCCCTGGGGTGGTGCTTCCTGGGGGACCCACCCAGTCAAGGAAGCAGCAGGAATCGGGGCCCTGGACCGTGCTCCCAAGTCCTCACGCCTTCTCCGGGCCTCAAGGTCATCACCAGGTGGGAACAGGCTCCCTGAGCAGTGGGTGACTCATGGCCATGCAGGGAAGGCCATGCAGGGCAAGCGGAGCGGGGAGCGGGGAGCTGGGAGCTGGGAGCTGGGAGTCGGGAGCTGGGTCAGTGGGTGGGATGACTGCTGGACCTCAGGACGCCAGCTGTTCACCAGGGCAGCTACACTGAGCAGCCTGCCCAGAGCTTCCCACTCCCGCCCCAGAGCCACCTCACCACCTACCTCCTGGCAGACGAGACTCAGCGACACCATCCAGTCCACGAAAGACACGACCAGCACCACAAGGTAGGCTACCAGCCACAGGCTCTTCCGGAACTGGGGCCACCCAACCAGGTAGCTCTGCAAGAGACAGTGGGTGAGCGGGCAGGTGGGTGGGCATCCGGGCAGACGGCCCTGCAGCCAGTCGAGGCTGCCAGTGCACATGGCAAGCAGCGTGGTCTCTACCTGATGTGGGGAGCAGGAAGCAGAGCTCCCTCCCAGCCCCCAAGGACCTCAGGCAGCTGAGGACCTTGAGCTTGGCACTCAACAGCTCGGGCACTAGTTTCCTCATCGATAATTCGGTCCCTGCCCTAACTGCTGTGGCTCAGTGGGTAGAGCATCGGCCTGTGGACTGAAAGGTCCCAGGTTCGATTCCTGCCAAGGGCATGGTTGCAGGCACATCCCAGGTAAGGGGTGTGCAGGAGGCAGCTGGTAGATGTTTCTTTCTCATCGATGTTTCTAACTCTCTATCCCTCTCCCTTCCTCTCTGTAAAAAATCAGTAAGATACATTAAAAAATAATAATAATTCGGTCCCTGCCAGCTCTGCCCATCAGTTGAGGCTAAAACAGAATATTGGGAATAGAACTATAAGAAATATGAATCATGCTCTGTTAACCCTGATTGTCTCGTTCTAACTAAAGAGTGGGCATTCTAACCTGGCTTGGAGTTGTACGCGCCCTGGGACCTGAGAGTCAACCTTGGACCTGGCAGTAGACCTTGGAGTGAGATCCATTCTCACTCAAGAACTGCCTATTGCCGAAACCGGTTTGGCTCAGTGGATAGAGCATCGGCCTGCGGACTGAAAGGTCCCGGGTTCGATTCTGGTCAAGGGCATGTACCTTGGGGTTGCGGGCACATCCCCAGTAAGAGGTGTGCAGGAGGCAGCTGATTGATGACTCTCTCTCATCGATGTTTCTAACTCTCTGTCCCTCTCTTCCTCTCTGTAAAAAAATCAATAAAATATATTAAAAAAAAAAAAAAAAAAAAAGAACTGCCTGTTATCACGGAAAGATTAACAAACCCAGATGCCCAAACAATGGAGGCCCACCCAACCTGCTTCGCCCACTTCCCAGGCCTGTAATACCCATTTTGCTTACCCATCCATATTCCTTTTGCTTACTTCCTTATCCTACCCAACTTAAGCAGCTGGCTTATGGGGGGTTGACGTGGAGGTTGGGTGGGGGAGGGTCTGGCAGAGCAGATTTCTGTGCATGACCTGCTGCCAGCATTACTGGAACGAACGCTCATACATGATTCAGCCCTGTCTCTGCTGAATTGGCTCAAGTAGTGGCAGGCAGCCCAGACCCATTGCTGTCCAGTGTCACATCCAACCACGTGTTTAGTATGTGCGACAAAATGCCGCGGCACAGGACTCAGAAAAGACTAGCAAACAGCACCCAACTGCCATTCCCCACCATCACTGGCCTTCAGGGCTCAGGGCTTGCAGACACCCCAGGAACTCTGTCACCTTTTGAGATTTCCCCAACATCCAGATCATTCAAGAAATGCTAATGAGTACTTCTCGCCAGTTTCAGTTCCAGTTTAAAAACCCCCAAGACCTCCTAACCACAAAATGAGTTAAAAAGAAGAAATAAGAAACTGCCCGGGCCCTCAGTCACACCCGCACCCACGCCTCTTGGTCAGCATCCCAGGCTGACCCAACCTTGCCCGTCAGGCCAAAGGCACCAGGCACCGTGTGACCCGGAGCCCACAGGCAGGGAGCAGCCCACACTGTGGGCCAGGCGGAAGCGCCGAATCCTCCTGAGAGCCCAGGCCCTCCTTGCTTTAAGGGCTCAAGGCTCTGACCCAATCAGCCGGGACCGGTTTGGCTCAGTGGATAGAGCGTCGGCCTGCGGACTGAAAGGGCCCGGGTTCGATTCTGGTCAAGGGCATGTACCTTGGTTGTGGGCACATCTCCAGTAGGGGGTGTGCAAGAGGCAGCTGATCGATGATTCTCTCTCATCGATGTTTCTAACTCTCTATCCCTCTCTCTTCCTCTCTGTGAAAAATCAATAAAATATGTTTAAAAAAAAAAAAAAAAAAGGCTCTGACCCAATCAGAAGCTCAAGTGAGCAGGGCAGGGCCAGCCCCGGCTCTGCATGGACTCAGGTCTCAGACAGAGTGGAGAGTCAGACGCTAGGCGGCAGCTGCTACATAACAGACCCCTTTCCACCCTCCCCCCTCCTCCCCTGAGCTTCTCTACTCTTGGAAGAGAGAGAAGGGAAAGAGGGAAGAGGGAGGGAGGGAGAGAGGGAAGGAGGGAAGAAGAGAGGAAGGGAGGTCGGTTGAGATCTACCCTCAGGTCAGACCCTGGCCATGCCCTCAGGTCTGGCAGGGCTCCACACAGCCTCTGCTTCAAGGCCCAGAGTTTTCCAAGAAACAGGCCTCTGTTGAGCGGGTCAAAGTGCACAGGCAGCAGATTTGGCGGGTAGCTCTGGGGGCGTTAAAAATAAATCAGAGCCACCGAAATCGGTTTGGCTCAGTGGTAGAGAGAGCATCGGTCTGTGGGCTGAAAGGTCCCAGGTTCGATTCTGGTCAGGGGCGTGTGCGTTGGTTGCGGGCACATTCCCGGTGGGGGGTGTGCAAGAGGCAGCTGGTCGATGTTTCTCTCTCATCGACGTTTCTAGCTCTCTATCTGTCTCCCTTCCTCTCTGTAAAAAAATCAATAAAATATATTTTAAAAATAAATAAATAAATCAGAGCCTGGCCCGGTGGCTGGGTCGGCTGAAGTGTCCTGTACACCGAAAGGCTGCGCGTTCGATCCCCGGGGTGGGCACCGGAGGCAGCCGATGGACGGACACACCAATGACTCTCTCTCAAATCAATTAAAAAAAAAAAAAAAAAAAAAAAAAACATCATTGGGTGAGAACTGAAAATAAAAATAACAGATAAGGGAGCAGCAGCTGGCAGGCGGGGAAGGAGCAGGGCCCGGCCACCCACCTTCACGGAGAGGTCGGTGGCGAAGCCCAGCAGGCAGAGGGCCTCGATGCTCTCCGTCAGCCCGCAGGGCGGGTTCCAGGGCTTGGAGCGGTAGCGGACGTCCGAGGTGCGGGTGAACGAGGAAGGGGTCTCAATAAAAGCCAAAAACAGGATCAAGAAAATGATGAAGCCCAAAATCCTGGAACGGGAACAACAACAACAAAGATTAAAACGTGAGAACCAGCCACACGCCGGGCGAAAAAACCAGAGGGGCAGGCAGAACACCCAGAGAGCAGCAGGGCGGACGCCGGGGTCCCCGGCAGAACCACGGCCTCTGCTCTGGCTACACGTGTGCTCGGATGACTCAATGGAGTTGAAACTATCAGCAGGGCTGACCGCAGTGTTCGCCCTCCTGCCTACCGTCCACTCCTTTCCAGCCAGGAGAGCAGAGAGCATCCTTCCCACTGGCTCCCCATGCCTGGACCCTGAGACAGCCTCCCCCCCCCCCACCCCCAGCCAGGCTTCGAGAACCCCGAACCCCACACGTGTGCATCCTCACCACTGGAAAGTGTCCGAGTAATACCACCGGTACAGCCACATCGACCTGGTGTCCATGCGGTGGTTAATGGAGCGATACTGGAAGTGAGGTCACAGAGGGGGCGTCAGTGAGGGTCCCCCCAGTCTCGGCGCCACACAACACAGCCGGCCACACGCGGGCCCAGGGTGGGGGGACAGGTTGTGAATCGCAGGGTGAGCTTCGACTCAGCCGGCGGGCAAGATGCCCCACCGTGACCCAGCGAAGCCACACGGTGCCAGGCTGTGAGATGGGCCCGGCAGACAGGGTGCATCCCGAGGGGCAGGGCCCCGGCCAGGCAGGGACACTCGTGTCCTGAATGCACAGCTGGGCCCATGTGTGTGCGAGGACCACACCCCGCCCCCACCTCAGCTGTCACCCGCGGAAGTCTGCAGCCCAGTTCCATAGATAGGGCACTGCCCGCTTCCATGGTCTATTTCCCTGTCCGGCCTGTGTGTCATTCGCAGGCAGGGGATGGTCTTGCCATCTCTGGGCATCTTCCACAGGATCTGGGACAAGGCAGCAGACGACAGGTCTGTAGAAGGCGGTAAGTCAACCCAGCGAATGACTGGGGACTCGGAATAAGAAACCCCGGTGCCCACTTTGAGGGTTACGTGGACCACACAGTCTACCAACTCCTGCTTTGACCTCAGGACAGCAAGGGCCGTCGGGGCACCCAGCGCCCAATCCCCACAGCCCCCGGGAAGCTCAGGCCCAGCCGCCCACCTGGATCGCGTCTTCAATGAAGATCACCGCCTGCTCGAAGCACAGGTCCCGCCGGGCCTCGGCGCCTGGAGCGGAGAGGAACAGGCTGGGCGGGGAGGGGTCCTCGCGCGACCCCGCGGCACGGCGGGCGTCCGGGGAAGAGCCTGGCTCCTTCTTCCCCCAGGCTCCGGGTCAAGGTGCCTTCACCTGGCGCGTGCCCACCCCTGCCCAGAAGGGAGCCCCGCTGGGCGCGCTGCCCAGCAGGGACACTGGCAGGGACACTGACAGGGACACTGACAGGGACACTGGCTTTTCACCGGGTGCCAGGCGCTCCGGTTCCTGCCCCGTGACCAAACCCCTGGGGAAGAAATGGAGCCTGGGCCTGGAGAGATGGAGGAGACGGCTTCTGAGATAACAGACAAGCGCCAGGCCCGTGACTCGGGTGCAGCTGACGGGGCTCGGGCCCAGGCAAGCCATTACAGGCCGAGCGCAAGGGGCACCCCGGAGCCATCCGACGCTCGTCCAACTCGATCGCCCGTCCTACTCGACCGCCCGGCTTTTGGTTGCCGCTTTGTAAAATTCTGGGTGTGGCCACCTTAGCTCACAGGGCCTTCCGCCCTCCCTCCCTCCTTCCCTCAGGAATCAAACCTTTTCATTCTTAAAAAGCCCCTTTAATAGCATCACAAGACCTTGTCCCCCGACTTTCTCACACCCAGGAAGAGCAAGGAGACGAGAAAGCCACTATCCTCCCCCTGTGGCCCTGGCCCACGAGGTGGGGCTCAGTTAGAAGGACCGACCGTGGGATTCACTGGGGTCAGTGGGACACCCAACGGCAAAGGGCCCCCCCCCACCCTGCTGGTAGGAGAATCCGGCTTTGGGACATGCACCCCGACCGAGCACAAGGCCCCATGCAGAAGCTGGGCAGAGACCGAATGAGCCGTTCTCAGCCCCCACTGCCCCCGGGCCCCCAGAGCCAGCAGGAGGCCTGGCAGGGAGATCCTGTGCATTCTCAGAGGCCCTCACCAAGACCACAGCATCGGGACAAAGAGCATTTCCCCCACCCCCCACCCCCAACGTCATCGGGGACCTGCGTTGTCACCGTGCGCCTCCGTTTAGAATGGCCACCCGCACCAGCTCCCAGGCTGCCCCTGTGCTGTGGGCATTCATGGGTCTCCCCAGACCTCCAGGCACCAGGTCCATGCCCCCTGAATGCCTCCACAGGCCCCTGTCCCCGGCCCTTCAAGGCCTGGCACGGGCTGGATGGAGAACTTGCCGGGACAGTCTCTGAGATGGGCGGTCAAGCGACCACCTGAGAGCCTGTAGTTTTCTCATCTCTCCCGCCAAGATCAGCCAGCGCTGTGCCATGGGCAGGTACACCCTGCAGACCCCTCCCGGACAGAGGAGAGTGGGCCAGGAGAGGGACGGTGGCTCAGGAAAGAGCACCCCGCCTGGTGCTAGCAGCAGCAGCAGCACGAGATCCCCGGGCTGTGACCTTGGACAGGTCCCACAGCCGCTCTGGGCCTCAATGTTCTCCTCTGTCACGTGAGGCTGAGCCCTGGGGGGGATGGACTCCGCCCTCCCAGCCCTCCTCCCTTCTGGGGATTCAGCAATTTCTCCGTGGGGCAAACAGGAAGGCCAAGAGGGAGAGCCCGGGGCAAGGGGAGGAAGCAGCCCTGGTTGGGAGAAGCCGGCCCCAACCCCCAAACTGAAGGGGTCCAGCCCCCGGGGAGCCTCCTAGGACGCAGAATGAGAAGGTGGAGCCAGAGGAATCCCACCTGGGCCACTTCCTCGCTGGGTGATGACCTTGGGTAGGGAAATGCGCCCCCCCCCTCTCCCCTCTATTCCTCAGTTTCCCCCGTAAGGATCAGGCGGAAATGGATCTGCTGCCTCCTAGGAGTCACCACGGCGACCCACGAGAAGGACGCGGTCCGGGTGCGCCCGGCACCCGCGAGGGCTGCAGGGGGCTGGGCTGGTGGCGCGGGGGCTGCGCGAGGCTCGCGAGGCGCTTCCCGCCCGGCAGGTCCTGGGCAGGCGCGACCCCGCGGGCAGCGCCTCCCCGTCGCCGGCGTCCCCAACCCCGCGCCCCGGCCAGGGGCGCCCCGCCTCCCGGAAGGCGGCCGGCCCCGCGCCCCGCGCCCCGCGCCGCCCGGGCGCGCTCCGACCCCGGCGGCCGGGCGAGGCGCGCCCGCAGTGACAGCGGCGACCCGGCGCGGGCCGACCGCGGGGCCCCCCACGCGTCACTCCCCGCGGGACCCGGTCCCGGCCCCCGCCGTCGCTCACCAGGGCCGACTTGGACGCAATCGAGCGAGCCGGCCGGGCAGTCGCGCCCATTGCTGCCGCGGGCCCGGCTCAGGAGGGGCTCCGACTCCGCCATGGGGGCTCCGCGCGCCGCCGCCGGGACCCTCGCAGGCGCTCGGAAGGAGCGCGCCGGGCTCCACCGCGCAGGCGCAGAGCCCCCGCCCCTGGAGTTCGAGAAAAGTGAACAGCACTGTGACGTAGGGGATCCCTGCGCTGGCAGCCAATGGGAGCGGAGTTCTTGAGTGTGCAGGCGGGGCTTCCAGGGAGAGTGGAGCTCAGCTACCCTGCACCCGGGAGGGGCCCTGAGGACCCTCCTAGGCCCTGGAGGAATGCGTTCTTTCAAAGGATGGGACCACCCATTGCCCCAGCCCTGCAGCGTCAGAAATGCAAAGCCCGGGCCCTCCCAGACCTTCTGGATCAGCAACTCTGGGGCAGGGCCTGGGGTGGGTTTTGCAGGCCAGTTGGGTCTGTGAGGGTGACCGCAAAGGACATCTCCCAACGTGGAACTCTGATAATGAAATTGGGAAGACGGGATTTATTTGAAGGTGAGGCTTAAAGGACAAATGACACACTTGAGAAGATATTTACAACGTGTATGAAAGCGATTGCGGCGTGGATGTAGAAAGAGCGTGTTTTCTTTTCCTGCTGGGACCCATTACCACACACGTGGCTTAAAGCAACTCCCTTCCTGGAGGTCAGAGGTACAGCAGCACCAAGGGCTCGTCCCAGGGCCTCGCAAGGCCTGAGTCAAGGTGTCAGCGCCTGGGACAGGCTCAAGTAGGCAGCTGGCAGAATTTACTGCCCTTGGGGTTAGGACTGAGGTCCCCACTGCTGAAGGTTGGCCAGGGGACATTCCCCGCTCCTAGGGGCCACTCACTGCATCTCTTCAGCCCTGGCCCCTCCGTCATCAAAACCATCACAAGTGCATTGCATCCTTTTCATGCTCCGAAAGAGAGGCTTCAAAACGCCTTCCGAGATCTGTCTGGCTTTGCCTGCGGCCACATCTCTTTGCTTTCAAAGGGCTCGGGCGATTACACCGAGCAGCCCGGATAATCCAGTCATCTTCTAGTATTTAAGATCAGCTGGTTAGTAACTTTAATTACAAAATCCTTTCTCCCCCCCCCCCACATTCTTTTATTAAGGTATTACATATGTACCTAACTTCCCATTGCCCCACCTACCCACCCCTGCAAAATCTCTTTTGCCTCTAGGCTATCATTACTACAGGCCTGAAGCCAGTGGGTGAAGGTCGTGGGGCCAAAATTCTGCCTCCCGAGCTCAGAAAAGTCAGTTTAAAAAAAAAAAAAAAAGATTAAATTCTCCCATAGATAGGAACGGGGCAAAGAACATGAGCCAGAAGTTCACAAAAGCCCACCAGAGTGGCTCGGTTGATTGAGCATCATCCTGTGCTACAGAGGTTTGCTGGCTCAACTCCTGGTTGGGGTGCATGCCTGGGTGACAGTTGCGGTCCCTGACGGGCCTGTGCAAAAAGGCAGCTGATGCTTCTCTTTCTAAACATGTCCTCTGGTGAGGATTGAAAAAGTAAATATAAATATAAATATAAATATAAATATAAATATAAATATAAATATAAATATATCAAGTTCACAAAAGAAAATATATCAACAATGAATGTGTGCAGCAAAGCTCCGCCTCAGTAGAAGAGATGCTGGTTAAAATAACAATGAACCCTAGCCGGTTTGGCTCAGTGGCTAGGACACTGGCCTGCAGACTGAAGGGTACCGGGTTCGATTCCAGTCAGGGGCGCATACTATAGTTGCAGGCTCCTCCCTGGCCTGGGCCCTGGTCAGGGCGAGTGCAAGAGGCAACCAACAGATGTGTTTCTCTCATATCGCTATTTCTCTCTGTCTTTCCCTCTCTCCTACTCCCCCTAAAAATCAATGGAAAAATATCCTCAGCATTATTAATCTATCTAAAAGCCTAATATGCAGTGTGTCCCCTGTGGAGTTCCATGGGAGACTGGGAGTTTGATTGCTCATTGCTCGCTAGCCCCCTGCCCCCTTTCCTCTGCTGCAATCTGCCCTGATCCCTGGCCAGGTCTAGGGACCCTACCGTGCACAAATTTCGTACACTGAGCCTCTAATAACAATAATAATAGTAATAATAATAATAATTAATAATAATAATATACGTGAGCATATCAATTGGCCAAGGTTTGAAAGATGATAATGCTCAGAGGGCTCAGAGGGCCAGCGTGTGTCTAGCCACGGGATATGTTCATGGTTTGATTTTCTTTTTAACATTTTTAAAACTTGACAAAAGTAAGATATTTTTATTCTGAAAAAGGAATTAATAGATGCACGCAGCTCTTAGCAACAATGACTCATCCCCTAAGGACTTGACTTATTGTAATTCAAGAATTTCCTCGATGATTTTGTGAGGTTTTGTTTTGTTTTGTTTTGTTTTTTCACAGAGAGGAAGAGAGAGGGATAGAAACATCGATCAGCTGCCTCTTGCACACCCCCTGCTGGGGATGTGCCCGCAACCAAGGTACGTGCCCTTGACCGGAATCAAATCCGGGACCCTTCAGTCCGCAGTCCAACGCTCTATCCACTGAGCCAAACTGGATTTGGCTCCCTCGATGTTTGTGTATAAAGAGGCCGGATGTGCTACAGCACAGTGTGCGTATTTGCCTCGACTGTGCGGTGTTTGTGTTGAAGCTGGTGTAACTATAGGAGGCTAACAGGATCTCTCACCAAAGGGGAGGTGGAAATTCACTGGGGGAGGGGAGGCCCGGCTTGGTCCAATAGGAAGGCCAGCAGGCAGATGCCCTCTGGGCTGTGTCCATCACTAGCGTTCAGCAAGTCGGCCTGGTACTTAGCGGTGCCTGCAAGGAGAGAGAAAGGGCTCATGGGGCGCTCTGGAGAGCTAGGTCCTCACAGCAGTCCCGAGTGTAGGTCTCCTAGGCCCTGGGGCACTGGCTGAGCGAGCTGGTCAGGAGGTGAAAACAGAGAGATGTCTAACTGGCCTCTGCCTGACTGTAACAAACAACCCCCAAGCTCCATGGTTTAAAACAGCACCATTATCTCCCAGTTTGCCGAGACAGGAATGGCACTGTGGCTCAGCCGGATGCCCCACCCCCCCGCCCCCGGTGCTGGGCCTCTCACAGGCCAGATCATGGGTGTGGTTCTCTCACGGGCCTGCTGCCCCGGCACTGGGTCTCTCACGGGCCGGATCACGGTGTGGGCCTGGGCCGCTGAGAAGGCTGCCTGCCGCCACAGGGGACAAGAAAGGCTTTGTTTCCATGGTACTGTCTGTGCCCTGAAGAAAAGGTGACCAGACGTCCCGCTTTGGGAGGGACAGTCCCTGTTTTTAACCATTTGTCCCGCGTCCTGCGGTATTTTAAAACAGTCCCGAGAATCGCCTTTTAAAACGCCGTGGGACGCGGGACAAATGGTTAAAAATCGGGACTGTCCCTCCAAAAGCGGGACGCCTGGTCACCTTACCTTAACATCACCTGCCACACCACAGTTCTCATCCGTGTCTCACATCTGCCCTGTGAGCTAAGACAGAGGTCCCTCTCCCCGTGACAGATGAGGAAACTGAGCCTGGAGGGGCTCCGTGATGTTCCTCCCGAGGCTGCCTCACACCGTGTCTAAGAACAGCCCTGACCCCCTCCCCCACATCAGTGGAGGCCAGGAGCACAGGACCTGCTCAGGGGAGGATGAAGCCCAGCGGGCAGCGGGCAGCGGGCAGCACAGCAGACCTGGGGAGGGCCACGCTGGGTCCTGGCACGGGCTGCCCCCCCCCGCCCCCCGCCAAGTCAGAGCCAGTGGTTTGCAAACAGCTGAGAAAGGGGGTCCTTGGCAGGAAGTCCAGTCCCTGCCCTGCCCCCAGGCAAGAAAACAAACCTGAGCTTCATTAGGGCACAGGGTCCTCCTCGCCCCTCCCCGCTCCCCCCCCCCCCCCCGCCCCTCACAGCAACGTAACTGAAGACCCCGCCCAGCACTCCTGCAGCTGCGTTTCCAGTGTCGCTTCTCGGCCGCTGCAGGCTCCGAGAGATGTCCCTCGGAGCCTGCAGTGGAGACAGGCACCCTCTGGGTGGGGACATTGCCCGGCTCAGCCTCAGGATGGCTCCGTGCACAGCCGGGCCACCAGGGAGGCCCCCTGAGCAGAGAGCCCTTCCTCCCAGGATGCCCAGCCAGAGGGGTTTCTGGGATGCCAGAAACGCTCCCTCAGCTCCCAAACACGTGCCCTGAGCTGTGGGCAAAGTGCCAGCCACCGCCCCGTTGGGCTCCTGCTTTGTTTTCTGGGGGGAAATAAGGGAAGCTTCCTAGGGAGAGTATGGAGGTGCATAGAGAGTCCACGAGGGGCCAGTGTCCCCACACCTGGAGGCCCCGGCCCTCACCGGCCGGGCACCCTGGGCCCGCTCCACCGGCTCGTCACATTCACTCCCTTCCTGGTGTATCCGGCCACGTGGGGCTGGGTTCCTCGGCGTGAGCGGCGCGCCCATGGGGTCTTTGTAAAGGCAGCCTACTGAGCGCCTGCTACCTGCCAGGAACTGAGGGAGACACTATTAACTGATACAGAAGGTGCTCAACTTGATTCTAAAAGCACATAGGAAAATGTAAAAATCATCCAGCTGTGCAGTGACCTGGGAAAAGCATGGGCCCTGAATGCTTCAGTTCTGAATTCACACCCCTCCCCATCCCCATCCTCAGGCCTCTGTCTCCACCCCCATGGAGCAGGGCTTGCAGCAGCAAGAAGGGCACACAGTAGGGCCTTGTCCCTCCCTAGCCCCTCACCCACTTCCCTCCACACCGTCCATGGAGAAGAATGAGCCAGTGTTTAAGGTCACAGAGGATCCTCAGATCCCTCACCCGTCAGCCCCGGAGCTGCCGCCTCGGGCATCTCAGCAGTTATCCAGCTGCTGCTCGTGGGAACACGGAGACTCAGAGAGCCCATTGGCCCCGGCTGAGGTCACACAGCGAGTGAGGGGCACAGGGGCATGCAGCCTGGCCCGGGACTGGAAGGACACCATGTCTCAGAGCGCAGGCCTCGAGCCAGGGCCTTGGCGAGCAAACTCCTCGCCCGTGCCCTGGGGATGGCGTGTGG